GTTATCTTTATCATAGGAAAAGAAACTTAATGCAGTTAATAAATTGTGACACTGAATAATTATGTTTTTTTTCCCTATCCTCTGTGTTTCTCATTGAAACTTTCTTCTGCTCTGTATGTCTCATGGGCTTTCCTTCATGGCTCACTTTGTCAGAGAGGCTTTCCTTCTGCTCTGTCTGTAACAGATGCTTTCCTTTTGCTCTTGTTTGGTTGAAACATATTTTAGCTTGATTGCGAAACAAGTTCTTGCAACTTATATTAATCACTTTCGAGTCCGCTTCCTGGAACCAACCAGTACTGGTGTCATATGAAGAAACCTTGTGTGTTACATGGGATTTTCTTTTGCTGTCTTTGTCAGTATGGTTTCTTTTGCTCTGTATGTCACATAGGCTTTCCTTTTTCTCTCTGTGTGTCAAAGGGGCTTTCTTTTGCTTTGTTGCTTTGTACATTGTAATACAATACTATGTAACAGGGGTTTTCCATTTCTTCTTTGTGTCATAGAGCCTTTTTTTTCTTTAATGTAATTTTGTTACAATGTGAATGATAAGTCTGTTTCATATGTAACAGTTTTGGTTATGGAAAATAGAATTTGCAGTTAGAACAGCTGCTAACTTTTGCCACATACAAGTCTGGTATATATATATCTAATATATGTGTGATAGGGTTAATTATTACCACTGGTGTATATATTGTTATTTTAAACCCAAGCCTGGTGTTTTTTTCTTCTTCTTAAAAATGTTTCTTACCAAAAAGTCAGTAAGACACATTCTATAGGTGTAATCAGTCAGTTAGGCTCCTTGTCTAGACTGTATTGATAGAGAAACACGTTTCTGGAAAAAACAACAAAAAAAGAAAAAAACGAGAAATTGGTTACATGATCTATTTTGGTTTGTGTTTAAGTCGTTAGAAAATTATCGTGATTGATAAGTCAGAAAATACGTAGACGTTTTTTGTTAAGCGAGAATAATTTATTTATGTTAAATAGGAAATTTTAGGCAAATAAGACATCTTATTTTTGTGGCTTGTTTTGAACTGAGCGTAACAAAGACTTACAGTGAAAATCTTGCATAATTATGATAATAATCGTACAATTCACCTGTTTGAAACAGAAATAAGAATTTGACATTAATTTTAAACGTTTCAACATTTTGATTTTGACAGAATTGTTTATTATTTTCAAGAGAACTTGTTAACTTGAAACAAAGTAATGTTAATTAAATCTTTTTCGCCTTTCGTCTGACTATTTTCTACTGTATGTTTAATTTTGTGCCAAGGTAAAGTTTGCAATTTTCTTGACAGGGTGATTTTTGCTGTGAACTTTTAAATTTTTGAAACATTTTACAAATTTTGTGAAACGTTTTGGCCCAAAGAAATGATTTTTAATTTTATAAAGAAAACTATGTCCTTAAAAATTTTATTTTATCTTCGCCAATGCCCGATTTTTGTTGTTGTTTTATAAACCCATCAGACTTTGTTTCTTCTTGGTTTATTGACTTGGCATTGTGTCTGTTTAGTCTTCAGTTAGTATGGATCAAACATGAATGATTGAAGTGCTCAGGTTTTTAAGGAATATTAAGTCAAAATGCATATTTTACATCGGAACATCGATCAGTTTTAACTTGCCACAAAATTATTCAAAAGCAAGAAAATCTCATCCTAGCATAATGATATCTCTCAATTTTCAATTTCTGCGAAATTTTAAGCTCAGATTTTGCAAGGCAGTTTAAAACTTGAAATTGCGATGATAAATTCCAAGGAAACAATCACATTTTTGCATAATTTACTTCGGAATTCCATTGTTTTCGAAGATTATTGCAAAGTGTTCTGACAACATAATTTTGATTTGTGTTCTTTTTACCAGATGAATATGTATGACATCGGATCAGATTCACTGCCGACGGCTCGTATTGTGTTTTCCCTGGTTTTAGTTGGTGATTTAATCGGCAGTGAGCGATAAATCATGCTTCCATAATGGCAAGTTACGGCCTAGCTGGAATCAAGGAAAAGTCATGTTTGATACTGCAATGGAGATCAATGACTGAAAATTGCTGGGAATTATCGCAGAAGTTGCTGATTATTTCAGGAATGGTGTGATCATGTTTCATGCAGGCATGCTTTTATGGCAGTCCTACTGTGTACAGTCGCAGAGTATTAAAATAATTCCTGATTATCGTTTTGTTTGTCAAGATTTTAGATTCTAAAAAAGATCGGGTTTTTTTCCCCAAGTTACTGCATGTAGCTTTTGAATAATATCCAGTTTAAGCCTTCAGATTTTGTTTTTTTAAATATCAGTTTTATGATACTGTTTATAATTACTGAAAAATTTGAACATTTGAGAATTTGCCATTTTAACTCTGTGTCAGAAAGTTAATAATGAAAAATTTACTGATATTGTGAAAAAAATTTTGTCAAGAGTTGAGTCATTTTAATTAATTAGAAATCATGTTTATAACGAAGCCATGTGTGTCTCAAACTCATGAGTATTTCAAACATTAGAATACAATTATAATATAATCCCAATTATTGTTTAAACAGAGCTAAAAAAGTTCCATATGCTATTGCAGTACAATATGGTAAGCTTAAGCTCTTTAGAACGGCAGAAGCCATAGTGTTTGTACGGCAAGAGTCATTGTGTTTGTACGGTATGGATTGCTGATGGTATCTGGAAACATTTTGCCGGCAAACTAATCAGGGATTAATTCAGATCTTTTATTTCCAGGTCTGTGAAGCTCTTAAGGGTAATAGGTGCTACAAAGCATTGGTTAATGTGGACTTACTAAACAATTGGTTCAAATTGCATTGTAGTTGTTATAAAGAATTTTGTTAGGTATGTCCTTTGGTAAGAGGTCTACTGTGTTATATCTTTCATAGGACATAAAATGGTATATTTTGCTAAAGCTGTACATATTTGATGTTGAAGCGAGAATGGTATGGAAGGCCATAATGGCCAACTTGTTTTACAATAACTCTAACTAATTATAGGTTACGTTTTGTGCCGTTGTGGTGAGTCATTAAAGGTAGTCTTTAAATCGAATTGGAACTAAAGAGTTAATTTAAAGAAACATTTTCTTTGATAATATACTCCCATAGTACATAATATAAATTGGCTGATTACTTATGATTCCTTTTTGCTCAACATTATTAAAAGATTTTGCCTAATCAATGATGTCACTCGGTGCTTTGTTTCATCGTGCGTTCAATTGACTCTCTTTCTTCTAGCACTTGCTGGCATTGTCATTAAAACAAAGAAAGTTTTTGCCTATTAAGAGAAATAAAGCTTTTTTCACTATATACGATTTTCTATTTCTTTGTTCTTTTGTTCTCGTTCTCTTTGTTTTATCGAATAAACGCAGTGTTTTAATCTGCTCAAGGATAAATAATTTACATTGATAATTCTGGCGATGTTGAATCTTTTTCAGGGGGGCTGTTAGAGAAAGCTCAGTATACCGCAAACATTATGAAAATCAAGATATCTTAATCAACTAAATGTTTGTACTACATGTAAATAAGGGATGCTATAATCGTACACATTTCTGAATTTTTATGCTGCCCCAAGATTTTCAGGGCAATTTTAGCTTGAGCACTCTGTGCAGTCTGATGTTGGTAATAAAACCCCTTTAACTACGATATCAAAACAAGGCAATTTATTTTAGAATTCAGTATTTTTTTGGGGGTATTATGGGATAAATCTTAGATTTTGTTTAGTGTGTCAGCAGAATAATTGAGACTAGTACAATGCACTATGGTTCTGCATGCCTTCATATGATTTGCATGACTTCAAGGGAAATAGGCTGAAAAACTTCACATCTGTTTATCCATCAATCAAGGGTGATGTAAATTGTAAATATTTCCCCCTTTCAAGATACATTCACTGGGACATGATTAATGGTATTTTATTAAAATTGAAAAGTACATGTAGTTGAAAGGCCAGAAATTAAAATAAAATAATTTGTTTCATGTCGGTTTAAATGTAACCTTGCTCTGCTTATTCTTTTAAGGTCATGTAATTTTTTCATTTTAAGAGAGACATGTTTGATAAAATATTGTATCTTAAAAAAAAGAAAAATTAATAGAGAATTTGTAATATTCATGTCTCCCTCAGTACTCATTTTACTTGTTTAGGAGACATAAAAAAAATCATTGTTAAAAATGGCCTTTGAATTGATTTAATCAGTAATAAAGAAAACATTTAATGACTTAGTTATTACTTCAGTAAATCAAACTTTGCATGATTATGCAATGACCTTTTTATTTCTTTGAGAGCGAAAAAATTGTTGTAAATTTTGAAGCACATAAATGATAAATTTACATTGTCTGAAGTGTAATGTATGCTACTGACATCTAATATTCCTTAACTTTATAAACATACAACTATTGCGGTGTCAATGTAAAGTAAATAAATTTTAGTAGGCTTAATTAATTACCTTTACCCCACAATATATATTTCATGGACTTGTCGATCTTTTAATATGGAAAAAAGACAACAGTTTCTTTGAAAATTTCAACATAAGAACTTAATTACCCCATAGCAAACAGTGCAGATCATGATCAGATGGCATGGATGGGCCGCATTGGTCACATGGGTAGTTTCAGTTGCTGCCGGCAGGCTATGTTTCTGAAAAATAGATGTTGTAATGATATCTCATTTTACTTTGCTCAAGCATTAAAAGTACATTGTACCGGGTCACATATTGCACTTTGTTTGAATATTCATGAGTAGGATTGATATACTACATATTTCTTAGAAATCAGCCAACTTGTGGTATTAAAGTTTGTTAAGTGCTCAGAAAGAGAGGAGTAATTAAAAGCATGATATTCAACAATTATATAGTGAATTATATCTGGTTGGGCTACGTGGGGGTCTCTTTTTGTCAGTAGAGCAGATGCCTTCATATAACTTGAAACAAAATGGTATTCGTGAAACACTTGAGCATTATATTTCATATTGAATCTTTGATGTTTTTGAACCTTTGTTAGTTATTAATGTATTGTATATTTCAGGTGCTCCAGACCCCACTGCTGGTGCCTCAATAGATGATGATAACAGCTGGCATCTGGACGAGGACCAAGTCCGGGAGCAAGTCCGATCCTACCTCTCTCAGGGAAACTACCTCAGCTCCGCAAATCACCTCAATTCTATGTTTGCAAAGGTATACTTTTCACGTCATTTATATATCATCACCTTAGTGCAATAACTGGTTAACTCCTAGTAAATTTGAAAGGACCTAACCCATTACTGCACAAAGGTGATAGTATCACCACCTGATATGAATGCATCAGTCAATTGTAACCTTGCGGGCAAGGCCCAAGTGAATGACAGGGATAATGGTCGAAATGAGCAGTGTTTTTACCTTTCTCCTGTCCCAGCAATTCCTGGTCATTTCGGTGTTGTATTGTTTTTGCACCATAGTGGCTTGGGTCAAAGTCCTGGCCATACTTTGGAAATTGTTGTGCCATGGCAATAATTGACTATAGTGTATAGATTTTAGGGATACATGTCCGAGTGATTAAGTTTGCTGACAGCAAATTACGAGCCGTTCATCCCCGACTGTGGTTACAAAATTCCACCAATGATTGTGGAATGCTCAGTGTTTTAAGGAATGGCGTATCTCATAAAATGATAACAAAATAGAATGCTGGTAAGGGAGAAAAAAGTGTTGAAGAGTTTAAAACTTCAACTGAATATTTATAATCAAAGTTTTAACTTTTAGCAACAAAAACCTCAGAATTTCATGAATTTGTAACAAAGAAAAAAGATGCTGATTCTGAGAATTAACTCCCAGTCATGTGCAAAATTGCTGTCTTTTTTAATAGTATCATATTTTTATCAGCTTTCCTTTCCTCTTTCCTTTGGGATAATCTTTTTTAGTTTTAGATATAAATCTAGGATGGGCTTAACAAGCACTAAATTATACATTAAAAGCTTTAGAATTCAATTCCTTTTGTAAATTAATAGAATGTTAAAATGAAAAATTATTAAGTAATTGAAAATATGCAGAAGTAACTGCTCTAACTTCTTTTTTTGTAATTAATTTAAATAACCTGCAAATATATAGACAATAAAATTTAATTTGAAACAAAGAAAACCTTCCTCTGCATGCATTGTTGTTATTAAAGGGATAAAAAATGACATAATTGACAATGGATTTCTTTTAATGACTTTATTGTATTTGTTCTCCAATCCTTAAAGTCTAAAAAAGGAAACACTTTCGAAATATTAATTTCCTTAGTTTTCTATTGTTAAAGGAATACTATTCAGTGCAAATAATTTAATCCAAAAGAAAATGACTCATTTAAAGGCTTATTTTTTTTCTTTATCTTTTTCTTGCCTTACTTCCTTTAGTACTGGTGAAGAAGATAATGAAGTGTTTAAGAGAACTTTGCCATATTTAAAATATAAGATCTATAAAGACAATCATAGAGATTATATGACACCACTGTATCACATTATGACACCACTGTATCACATTATGTCACCACTGTATCACATATGACAACACTGTATCACATTATGACACCAATGAATCACATTATGACACCACTGTATCACATTATAACAACACTGTATCACATTATGACACCACTGTATCACATTATGACACCGCTGTATCACATTATGACACCACTGTATCACGTATGACAATGTTGTATCACATATGACAACACTGTATCACATTATGACACCAATGAATCACATTATGACACCACTGTATCACATTATGACACCACTGTATCACGTATGACAATGTTGTATCACATATGACAACACTGTATCACATTATGACACCAATGAATCACATTATGACACCACTGTATCACATTATGACACCACTGTATCACGTATGACAATGTTGTATCACATATGACAACACTGTATCACATTATGACACCAATGAATCACATTATGACACCACTGTATCACATTATGACACCACTGTATCACATTATGACACCACTGTATCACATACGACAACACTGTATCACATTATGACACCGCTGTATCACATTATGACACCGCTGTATCACATACGACAACACTGTATCACATTATGACACCGCTGTATCACATATGACACCGCTGTATCACATTATGACACCACTGTATCACATTATGACACCAATGAATCACATTATGACACCACTGTATCACATTATAACACCACTGTATCACATTATGACACCACTGTATCACATTATGACACCACTGTATCACGTATGACAATGTTGTATCACATATGACAACACTGTATCACATATGACAACACTGTATCACATATGACACCACTGTATCACGTATGACAATGTTGTATCACATATTCCAACACTGTATCACATATGTCAACACTGTATCACATTATGACAACATTGTATCACATATGACACCACTGTATCACATATGACAACACTGTATCACATATGACAACACTGTATCACATATGACAACACTGTATCACATATGACAACACTGTATCACATATACACCATTGTATCACATATGACAACACTGTATCATGTATGTCAACACTGTATCAGATTATGACACCACTGTATCACATATGACACCACTGTATAACATATGACAGTACTGTATAGAGTCGAGCCAGCCTGTGTCCATATGTGCTGACTGGGCTTTATATTGTTCTTTGCTTCATTGTTAATTCACGAATTTTATATTCCCCCAAGCTAACAATTTTGGAAACCCCTCAAGCACAGAATGTTAAAAAAAACGTCAGGGTCACAATTTTTATATATCTCAAGTGCACAATTTTGAAAACCCCACAGTCTCACAAATTTGACATCTCAAAGTGACAGTGGACTGCAGGAGACCATTACATTAATTTTTTGACACAAGGTTGGGTAATGGCCGTTGGAATTCCCTCTATTATGAATTAAGGAATGGTACTTTGACCTGTATTTTAAAAAAGATTTGGCCTGTAAGGTTAGAACATGTACAAATTCTTCTCTTTTTTTGGGCTGCTAGGAAAGATAATTTGCCTTTACTGTAGTTACAGTCAAATAAGATGAAAACAGCAATTCATTTTGTCTCCTGAACTAAGTCCATTGCAAACAGTACACATAGCCGAGTGTCAATAAAATCGTGAACAGCCTGACAAGAAAATGCCGATATTTTTTAGTGATCTGACTGAGTGTACCAAGTTAACGCAAAGCAAATTGACACTTGCTACAAAAGTAAATAACCTTCTTTTCAAATGAGATATGTCAAGAGAAAAATAGAAAATGATGTTGGCCAAGATTGAAGAATGACGGGCAAAGCAACTTAGGAAATTTGAGAAATGCTTTGAAAAGAGTTTCTTTAGCTTCGCAGATTAATGACATCTGTAGGTGTATATTACATAGAAATATTTGTTATACAAGCTTCAAATTAGGCTTGTTTCTCTGGAAAAATATTGGGTTATTATTGTTAATTGGAAAAAAAAGATTGAAAAATTAGGTTGAGAAGAAAAATGTCAAAGGAAATTAGTTTTTCCAAGTACCGTAAAATCTTTCAGTTTTACGAGTTTGAAGTTTTGAAATGTCAGCGAGCTGAAAAAATCTTTCTTAGGAACCTGAAGTTCAAGATTTTATGTTTCGGTTTTTGTTGGAGGTTGATTGCAATGAAGTTACCAAGGCATGTAAATTTATTTGATTAATCTGTTTTCATGAATTTAAATTTAAGAAAAGGATGTTTGATTACAAATGGGTAATTTTTTTAATTCACCTTATATAACTAAAATTTTTTTTGGTCATGCACAACTATCTGGATAAGACAGCCGGACCCAACTTGAAGGAGTATGTTTGAACAGTGCTTTGCCAGGCACTGTATCGGAAGAACAGTAACATTAGGGAAGCATTTTGTGTCCAACTTAAGTGCATTGTCCTTCTTGGAGTTCCTTTCATGAGTTTAATAATACTATAAAATTATTATACATTGGCATCATTTCTTTTACCCAATACACTTATATCAGTGTTTATCAATTTTTCTTGATCTGGCCTCTCACGCAGTAACAATTAGAAATTTTTTTTTTCTTAAAGAATATTATGGTCATTTTTTGTTGGTTTTTTTCAGTCCAAGTCTTATATAAGATTTATGTAACTGTCAAGACTTTGTCATCACCTTTGAATGTAATTCTTTTGGAAATATCAATTTTTTTCCCCTGGCAGATGATTTTCACCCGCTTCATCATGTTCCAGACCTTTCAGTTAATTACTTAGCAGTATAGCAAAATCGGCTGCAATCTTGGAACTACTTTATCTCTTGGCTATTGTCTTAAATCAAGAGAAGAGAAGTGTGTATTAGTACCCAGAAGCCATCAGGAAACATGGCGGAGGGCGATTGATTTCTTCATTAAAATGTAACTACGGAATGTTGTCGAAGATACTCAAGAATTCCGATCCAGCGACTGAGGGTCTTAAAAGCATGTCTATTGATCAAACTGGGGCTTATCTTGAGAAAATGATCTGGCTATTGTTTTCCATGGTAACCAAATTGATAGGGAAAAAAAAAGGAAATACGGCAGACAGGCCCGAGTTTTGTCCAATACAAAGCCTACTGGCTAAGACTGAAGTTGTTTCATCCTGCAAAGGGAAATAATGGGTTTTGAGAGCTTATTTATTGACGGCAAAGTCTGGTTATTGATGAATAATAAACAGACAGTGTTGTGCTCGGGGATGTTTTAAGTTACGCAGAAATCCATTTTATGCGAAGCAAACAAGGAATTGAGATAAAGGGGAAAAAATGCTATGAAGGAAATAAAAGAAAAAAATACAAAGTTTGCACTGCAAAGATATAATCTTACTGATTAAGGAAAAAAAGTGTTTTTGTACTTTTTAATCAATTGAAAGAAATGGCAAAGCAGGTCCTGGGTACATTTTGAAGTTTTTATGTATTCAATTGATGTCCGTACATTAAAATGTGTTCTTTGTCTGCCTAAAATAAAGAGCCTAGTAGTAAGACTGCTATGTTGTAAAGACTGGCCTGGCACTAAACTAGTAGCTAAGACTCCAATAGGTGTCTCAATTGTTTTGTTGTTGTTCTTGGTTTTTGGTTAAGTTTGATAAGTTTGATAAAGATACAAATTATGCAAGTTTTATGTATATTGCAGGGTTGTCATTAAGAGGCGGCAGGAGGCCAAAATGCCTGTCTCAAATG